TATTTGAGTTTAAATGAGCCTGATGCAACTGATAGCGATGATGTTGATGTTTGCATTTGGTGGAGACTCAATAGTCATAGAGATCCTACTCTTGCCCTACTAACTCGTGATATATTGGTGATTCCTCTATTAACAGTGGCTTCGGAATCAACCTTTAACACAGGTGGTCATGTGCTTGATGCATATAGGAGTTTTTTATTGCCTAAGATGGTGCAAGCCCTTACTTGTTCTCAAGATTGGCTATGTGGATCTTCTTATTATCTTAATGACATTGAGAATGATTTGGCAGAGTTTGAGAAAGTTGATGAAGGTAAGTATTTTATTTATATCATCATTTCATATTTATTTTTTCAATTGTTAATATGTTTTTTTTTATTTCTCACTTCTTTGTTTATGTATTTTAAAGTTGTCAAAGATTACAATGGATAATGTAATTGATAATCTTTGAGGTAATCAAGTAACAAACTAATGTTATCTAATATCTATTTAAATTTATAAAATATTTAACATGACCTAACTTACTTTTTTATTTTATCTATTTAAAATTAATAATTTTTTTTTCAATTTTTGAAGGTACAACCTGTGTTTATGCTAAGTTGCTAATAACATCAAGAGCCATTTGAGGTGAAAGTAATCTTTGAAGATTATTTGCAATCAAGGCTATTTGTTGTTACTTTTATCCATTGTTGAAGACTGTTAATGATTTGTTATTATTTGTTAAAGACTATTTGTTATTGTTTTTATCCATTGTTTAATATTGCTAATGATTTGTTGTTATTTACTCGTGACTATTTATTGTTGTTTTCATTTATGTTTTTAATTATTTGTTGTTATTTGTATGAGTAACCATTTTATTTATTATAATTTTTTATTATCATTTTTAATATTTTTGTAGTATAGATTTATAAAAAAAAATACAACATAAATAAATATATACAAAAAAACAAAATAAAAAATTTCTCAAATCTAATTTTTGGAAACCAAACCGAACTAACTGAATTAGTTCGATTTTGGTTAATTTGGTTATTTGTAAAATTTGATTCAGTTTCAATTATTTTTAAATATGAGTTGGATTAGTTCAGTTATTAAATATCTAAAACTGAATTAACTGAAATAATGGTTTGCACACCCCCTAAGTATAAGATTAATCATTTTTCATGCATATTTTTTAATATATGAAAATTTGGAGCATATTTAATGATGCACTTTAAAGATTTCTTTGATTTTTTTTTATTAATCATCATTGTTAAAATGAAGTCATCCTTAATGTATCTTACCAGCTTAATCCAATTTTTTTTAAAAAAAAAAATTATGTGCAGCTTGTTGTTATTTATAAAAAATTGATTATTTTGGTTGATTATTAATGTTAGAAGTCCTACACTATCCTATAGTTTCAAAATCGACATATATGTTACTCTTTATTATTCTTTTTATCTGGTATATACTATGTTATTTTAAATTAAGATTCTAATTATTTTTAATATTTTGATAAGATTAAATTTTAATAAATTTATATTTGAAAACTAATTTATTTATAGTTTTGAAAGAAAATTTTTTATTAATAATAGTTTATTAATAAATATAATAAAATTTGAGAAATTTTAAATAAAAAAATTAAATTCAGAGCTTTTTAAAATATTATTGCGAATTGCATTTGCAAGACACAAATATATATATATATATATATATATATATATAAAAACATTTTCCCCGCCATAAAACACGTTTTAGATTTTCCCGTATGATGATCCTGAAATTTCTAACAGAAAATAACCACTTTTTTTTTTAATTGGCAGGGCGTAAATCGTGTGGCCCAGGTCAGTTTCTGTCGTAAAATTTGATTGTAATCTTTTCCTTTTCCTTGTTTTTGTTTCTTTACATTTCCAGTGGAAGTGCTTTGAACAAAAGATAATAAATTCGCCAGGCTAATACGTTGTAATTATCTGGAAACTTTCGTCTTCCAGAAATTATAATAACTCCTCAACTTGGATTCTGTTTTTTCCTTTTGTTTTTAGCCATTCTTTGCATTACCATTTGTTATAATTTGGGGATTGATTACTCTCAACTTTGAAATTTACCCATGCTTGTTTTGGAATATGACGGCGCAGGAGGAAACTGAATCAGGTGAATTTTCAAGTTAGACCTCTTCTCTGGTATCTATCTTTATTTATTTATTTAGTTTTTATAATGGGTAATTGGGTATCTATCTTTGTTGATGCTATGTTTATCTGTGATTTTATTTAGCCAAAACTTTAGAGTTTACAGTTCAGCATTAAGTAAACATCATATTTTGTGCATTTGGATGAAATTTATTACAATGGAAGAAATTCTGCTACAATGTTCTTTTTCCCCATGATCATATTCACTTCTACAAGAAACTCTGGCATTTTACTGCAAATTTGTCGAAGATGACTGTAGTAAATATATATACATAGACACACACACACACACACACACACACACACATATATAATGGTTTGCAAATGGGAGGTCCTTGATTCTTAGCATCAAGGTTGCTAATGTAAATTTATCTACCGGCTTAACTCTCTGCTCTTTCATTGATTTCTTCAACTCTCATGAGATAAATTGGTCATTTCTTGATCTTCCAGATGGGTTCAAATAATGTTTGGACCAGCCACACATTCTCCGTGTTGATCTTCCCTTAAATTAGTTATACTTGAGTAAACATTCTTGTTTGATAGAAGTGATTCCTCCGATAAATCTACAATTAGTGCGCAGATCACAATGCACAAGAGCTTCACATGTGATTTACAGGCATCATCCAAGTAATGTCGAAGGAATTCGTGATTGATTATGGTAACATTCAATATAGGTCCTAACCTCAACACACACTCTTCCCTGTCAGTGAGACCTGTGGCATCTTAAGAACTTATGCTTCAGCTTTCTGTATCTGATGTGTTTACATGAGGAGAGGGAGAAGAAGGAAAAGAAGTAGGGGGGAGAGGAAAATGAGATGGATTATTTAGATTTCTTTGGTTCATGTTAGGTATAGTATGCCTTGTTCTGATAGCAAATATTTCTTATTAGGGCATAATTATACCTACCTCCAGAAAGAAAGTAGCCTGTTAGAAATTTGCTTACCAGACATGGCAGATGATGTTGTAGTAATAATTTTCAGAAAATTAGTAGTTCTGTGATTAATATTGCTGTCCTCTATGCAACTTACAAAATTAGAAAGGCATTAAAAATTTTCTGAGAAAACATCATTCTGGTTTTTAGCTCAGAAAAAGGCATTCAGCTTGAATGCTCTTTGTAGTTTAGAAAGAAGAGGTGCCAAATTATATTTGCTTTAACATGTCATGATTACTATTTCAATATTAAACTGCTGAATAATATGTTTGCATAGGTTAAACTTGAACTTTGAAAAATGTTAAATTTGCTTAGCGGTTGTGAAGTAAGAGGTATCGCTGCAGATTTACTTAAATCCTTATTTCTTAGGCTTTGCTATGCATAACTATTTCATTGTCGGTGGGCTGCTGGCTTTGATCCTTGCCTTAGGTGTTGGATGTTGTCATTCTCACGTCAGACTACAGTATAACTGCTGTTTGATTTAGCAATACCTTTCCAGTTTATAAGGGCTATGGATAAAAGGCAATGAGGAGAATATTTCTTGCCATGGATACGTTAATCAATGTGGCAGCAGAAACATGGATGTGCACAAAGCTGCTACATGAAATAGGTTGATGATGTTTAGCATCTTTCTGTAATTACCTTCAAAAGGATTGTTAACTGGACCTTGTGCCCTGTTTGAAAAAGTCCCATCTCCATTATCTTTAAATATCAAGAAAAAAAACAAAAGTTTGTAGAGGATAAAGTGATGGTTTAATAAACTAAGGCCTGGTGGATGACTTTTAACCTAACTGACAGCCCACTTGTGATTAATTAAGAGGACTAAATCTTTACAACACATCATGGAATAATATATTTTAGTAAAGATGTAATAATAAATTATAGAAATATATGATCAACAGATATAATGATACCAACAAAGTACTCATGAAATCGTGCTGAAAACTTCAAAATCATACTAATTTATTTTAGTGAGGCAATACTCATTCCTGGGTAAAGTTTTTTTCTATTTTTTAGATTCCCTTTTACTGTGTGAGAAGAATAATCTACTTCTTTTTAGCAATTTAGCTGTTCTCCATATTTGTGTAGGACCATTTCAAACATCTGTCCAAAATCAGAGCTTTCGGTTGTCTGATTTATCTGTTAAGGGTAAGAAACGTAGATATTGTTCAAATCAAAATGCACATTAATTCCTCTTGAGTTTGTGTTGGTACTCTGAGGAACATAAAAATTAAAAATTTCCTGAAATAACAAATTAACATATCTCAGTTCAACAAGAAAATTGAATGACTGTTGTATACCTCATGATATTTGAATTATTAATAGTTATAATTTTTTGACTGAGCAATTATTAGTTCTTAAGGTGTTGTTTAATGCCACATGGATACTAGGTCACAGTCAGTTCTGTAATTTATTTTTTTACTTCTGGTCAAAGCATATTGGTGCTCATTTTTTGGAACAAGGTTTAATTTGGTGTTAACACTTTGATATACCATCGTATCATCCCATAAGCTACTCAATGACATAATGTATTCATTTAATGTCTGGTACTGGCAGCAATATGAGTTTTTTTTCATGCATAAACCCTTCTGGTTGTGTCCTTTTCAGTGCAGGCAGTTTACTGAATTTAGTTGGCTGTGATCTGATGGCATATGACAGATTCAGATCATATCTTTGCGGCAACAGTGTCAAGCTTCTCTTAGAATAGTTTAGTAATTCCTCTGAACATTTTGCTGGGTCAAAATGCAAATTGACACTGATCTGCGATGATAATAAAAACTAGTTTTTGCCTTGTTTAGTTGAGCAATACCCATGTATGGGAGAAATATGAAATATTTTAATTGTTGATCCTTGCTAATCCAACTTTCTAGCTTTTTTATTTTATGTAAAACTTTTGCCACCTCTTGCAGGCAACTCATGAAGCATACAAATCGTTGAGAAGATAATTAAATGCTTCTTACTGTAAAAGATGAAGGGAAGGTCAGATTTTTCCTTTTCTATGCATTGATTGTCTTTTCTGTATGAAACCCCTTTAAATGCTGTTAGGTCTCCTGTCACATGATGCTAAAGAAAGTTGAAACACTTGCAGCAGCAATTTCCAACATCAATGCTTTGGTTTTAATAAAGTTGATAAACTTTGAATTTTCTTATTAAATTTTGGGTATATTTTGTGCATGTTAGCCTAAGCATACTAGCGTTGTTTTCATTTTTCAGAAATGATCAAACTCTGGAATTTTAGAGAATATTTCTTAATAGCTTCTATGCTATGGGATACATTGCAGAAACATCAACTCATTTGATCCAATTAATGGATCTCGCATCTGAAATCAAATTCAAAATAGAACACTATCTATATATTTCAGTAAAACCACAAATGTTAATACAATTCAATTCCTAATTTTCCTGAAGCTACTAAGTCTTGTACATGCCAGAAAAACCCAATTTATAAAATCACAAAGAAAAGGATCAGAAAAGTGGAGCCCATACTTGCCAGACTTTAATATCATAGTCCAAACTCCCACTGCAAACCATGTAAGTAGTACCAGGTTCAGAAGCACCTGCAGTATTAGTATTACCATCAACAGCTGCCGTCAAGCATTTAACTGGCCTTCTGTGCCCTTCCAAAACTGCCAAGCAAGAATAGCTTTTGTCAGTTCCTCTCCTCCAAATCCTAACTGTTTTATCAGCTGATCCACTGCATATCAAATCCATCACAACTGCCAAGCACAATATAGCCTTGGTATGCCCTTTAAGTGCACCCACCAAAACCATGTGCCTATTACCACCGCCCTTGGCACTGCATTCTCTTTCCCAAACAAGAATGGATCGATCACATGCACCAGAATAAAGTACAGTCCCATCATTATTAAGAGCTAAAGCATTAACAGCTGATTTGTGTTTCTCCAGTGTTGCTAGCAGCAAATGTTTATTTTCTCCTGCATGCTTCTTCCATACCTTAAATGTCTTGTCTGCTGAACCTGTATAAACAAAGCCATCTTTAGCCAATACTATGGCATTAATGGCGTCATCATGTGCATTTTGTACAGACTCCAAACACTTGAAATCAGATGTCCGCCAAACTTTGAATGTTCGATCCCATGAGGCAGAATAAAGAAGAGAGCAATCTATTGATATTGCCAGTGCAGATACAGCATCAACATGATGTACCCATATGCTTTTTCTGTGACGCCGAACTTGAACATAATTCTTTTTTGAGAAGCACCTTAGGAAGCGATCATTCAATGTTGGGAGAGTGGCTATGCATTTGTATTTCTGCTGTAAGTGATTATGAATTTTCCATATGCGGACTTTGTTATCTTGGTGAGCACTGAAAAGCTTATCCCCTAAAACCACTAGGGACTTAACTGCGGTGTTGCTAGTAGCTACAATGTTATCAGTTGGATTATCTTGCTCAGAAAAATCCTGGCTCCACGCTCGTATCTCACCGTTTGAAGAGCCACTATAAAGGACTTTCCTGGCAAGAGCGAGGGAGAATACATAGGAGTTAACTTTAAGGGTGGCTATGCACTTATGGTGGATGGTTGGGGTTTGATCATGTTGCGAAACTGGAGTAAGGGAGGGAACAGACTGTAGACTTGATGGAGAGGAGATGGAAGAGTTTGATGATTCTGAATGAAGATGATTGGACCCTGATTGAGATTCATCATCTCTGTGGCAAGACAAGTGACATGGGAGAAGTCCCATTTTTGTCAAAGCTGAACACAAGAAACAGTTGACAAGATTATATGGGTGGTTAGGTTTATGTCAAACATCTTGATAAATGCATCACCATGAAGGGAAGGGAGGCTTATTAAACAAAACATAGCAGATGGCACATTTTAGCAGTCGATGGAAAAAGCTACCGTTGGCTGCTCTTTCCTAAGCTATGTGTCCACATATGCTAAGATAGGGGAACTTGCCATGAAAATCAGTATGTCAGATGAGAGCATGCATTCAAATGTAAACCTGCAATGCCTGTTATTGAGATAAAACCGGATGCTTCCACTAAAGGGTTTGAATACAAGTTTTGGAATTTTTAACTCTTTGCCTTAGCTTTGAGTTTGGTAGGAAAAGCTCACATCAGTGGGGCCTAGACTTGTTCCTTACAAGGGACCACCAAGCTCGATGGCTACACTATTAAAAGAAATACAAATATAGCTTGCATTTGTCTCATGTTTTATTGTAGGTTTAGCCTCTTCTGATGTTAGGTTTTCATCTTTTTGGATGGTTGTTTGAGAATCATAAAGGAAAATTCTAGATAAGCTTTTAGCGGTCGTTGTTATCTCATGATTTACGTGCTGCGAGTTCCCATCCTGATGGGTCCCGTTGTACAGGATATTTTGCAGGCAGTCGTTCCCTGAAATCACGATTATCACATTTCATGCTTTAATTTACGTTTCAAATGCTGTTATCATTATCATTACCATATATAATATAAATATAAGAGCCTATTTGGATATAAACCATGAGATAACACTTTATCTGGGTACAAGAGAAGAAAAGGAAATTATTTAAGAAAAGTGGCAAAGTTTAGAGACTTGTCTACAAGGGCAGAGCCTGCTTAAGTGCTGGGGGCCAAAATTTTTAAAAATTTTGGCTAACATATAAAATTTTTAAAAATTTTTTATAACATATAAAATTTTTAAAATTTTTTATATATTCTTTTAATGGTTCTTTTAAAATAATTTTTATTTAATAATTAATATAAATAAAAATAATAAAATAATTTTATATATCTCACTCAATTTTAAAATTTCTTTTTTCAATTGATATTATTATTTTATTTATGTTTTTTTTTTTATTTTAGTTACTCATATGTTATAAGTTTTTATAGATTTTTTTTCTTAAATATCTACAAACCATCGATTATATTTTCTTTTTTGCTTTTTTGTTATGTCATATGTAGTATCTCTTCTCAATTTGCCATAGTTTTCATTTTTCTGTTTATAAATTTTATTTTTTATGATTTTAATATTTAAAAATAATAAATTATTATGTAAGTCTCAAATATAAGTTATAATATTACACTATTATTTAAAATTTCATCAATGTATCATTTTTTTATTAATTCTAATTATGTAAAAGAAAATTAACTTGAGTATTTTTTTTATTTGCTTTACGTTTTATATTTAGTTAAAATAAAATTATCTTGAATATATAATATTTAAACAATCTTGATTTAATAAAAAAAAATTATTAATTCTATATATCGTATTTAACAATTTATATTTTACGCATTATAGTTTTATATTTCTATTATCAATCTTTTAATTATTGATTAAATTTAACATATTAACTTTTAAAATTTTTTATCTTAATTCTTCTGTGTTTGACCCTCCCAACAAAAATCAGCTAGCTCCACTTGTGCTTGTTTAATATTTTAGGATTAGAATTAACAAAGTTTACATTTTAAAAATAAAAATATCATTTTAATAGTAGTCTAATGAGTGCCATAACTTATATATTTTAAAATTACATTAAAGAATTACAATAATTATCACATTAAGTAAGTTAAAGTATTTTAATCTTTAAAAATTATATAAAAATTTACATGATTTAGGATGAGGTATACTCATAAGTCAATATTATATATATTATGTATAATAACTTTATTATTATACTTATTACATTACGTATTAAATCTTCCACCTGCAACGTAGATGGAGGCAAAAATCCATGAATTGAATTTTATGCTTCTGGTTGTGAAACAAGTTTGGTTATAATTTTTCAGATTTGATGCTTTCATGCTTCATGAATATGGTCACCTAGCATTAATCTTCGACCTATTGGCATTGCCATATTTATGGAAATCTTTGAAGCAAGTTGGCTACCAAAGAGGAAGCAAGAGGCCCAATAATGTTACGAATGCTGGCCCCGTATTAATTCATGTTATAAGCGAACTAAGGGTCTAAGGCCTAAGAGCCCTCATAAGATTTGAATTAAGACTCTGCGTTCAAATACTAGTCTCCCAACCCACCATAAAGGTTCTAAGCATTTATTTCATTTTCGTTATTTTGCAAGGAAACAAGTCGTGCAGTTGGTCCAAAATTTACAAATTCATATAGCTTAACCATGGCTAATCAAGTCGTGGAAATATTTATTGAAATGGATTAACAATCCCAAATATATTTGTAATTTTAGATTTTTTTGAATAAATAAGTAAAAAAAATAGGAGATTTTTCAACAGAAATAATGAATATAGAATTGCAATTTTACCAGAAAAAGAAAAGCATAGAGATGCAAAGGCCGCAGTAGCCAAAGAGAACGGGTATCCGAACAAAGTACAATTCTTCATAGAAACCAAATATAGGAAACACTTTAAAGGCTTCCGACCTCCAACCATGGGGAAATCTAGCTCGTTCATCCTTTGAGTCTTTCTTCAAGCTCAAAAGAACAAGAGAAGAGATTTTGTCATCACTGTCCTGCTGGAAACCAGAGCCCCATCGTTTGGTACGGCACAGATTCTACCATCTTTACCCTTCCAAAGTAGGGGTCACAACTGCGACAATAGGAATGAGGGGTAGGACACTGCAAATGATCCATTTGATCGGTTCCATGTATATAAAACGAAAATTGAATAAATTAAATTTTTATAAAAAATTAGCTACATTAATCAAATTTTAAATAAAAATCGAACTAGTTGAAAATTGAATTAGTTTAATTAATTATCTTAAAACTCAAAATTTTAAATTTTGATTGTTTGATTCATTAGAGGGGGAAATTTTGTCATCAAATATTGCATCAAACAATAATATTAGAAAAGACTGTTTGCTGAATTGATTGAATTAAATTAATTGAACTCAATCCGGTTCAAAAAAATCAATTGATTTTGCTCAACCTTCAGAAGAAGGTATTGGTACTTTGGTTTAAGTTTAATCTCATTTGTTGATTCCCAGACAATATTATTAGTTTGGTGTTGATATTTTTTATTAAACAGAAAATATTACTAGATCTCTCAAATTATGAATGTTTGGATTTTATTTCTTTATAAAGATTAGAGAGTTTGAATTTCTTACTGTCTTGGTTTTTAATCAATTTTTCCAATGAACAACTTTAATTAATTAGTTTTCATTTAGTTACTTAAAAATTGCCACATCATCTATTTTTGTCTGTGCTAGCATTGCCGTGTCATCAAAATTTTGCCCACATGTATGGCAACACAATTGAATTAACTGAGCTTTTAATTATGTCAACATTATGAATCCAAATTTCACTAGTTTAGAAAAAAAGAAACAAGTTAAAAAGTTAATTAATTCAAATAAAAGAATAAAAACTTAAATGGAAATTTTGGTATAATTCCCAGTCCTTTCACAGTATTGTGCCCTTTTCCGCCAACCGTGAAGGAGAGTCTCATTGCGGGAGGCCCAGTGAAACAATGAATGTACTGCCGCATTAATCCATTTATAGAAATCCAGGTAGGGTTAAACAAACAGAAGATATCACATTGCACCCATTTTTTTCTTCTTTAAAAGCACCACTTCTATCCACATAACTTTTTTGTAAACTCAAATTGCTAATAACTAGAAATAAAGGAACAGTGTTGGCAAAAGAAAAATAAAAGGTCCATACAATAAAAGAATTTCTTTTTATTGAAATAGATGAGGCATTTATTCAGTAAAAACTCAAATCACATAAGTCTGGAGCAAGATATGCCTAATATATCAGTTAACAGTAAAGAAAAGATATTTGGTCTAGGAGCCTCAAAAGCATGGAGGCCTAGGGGAAGATCATGATGTTTAGTTGCCATCTAGTCAGTTCACATCCAAAAATCAACTTATTAATCTTATATAATTACGGGCAAAAGATAAATCTATGGGATACTCTCATTATTAGAATTTAAGATTTTAATTTAAAAATTTTAAATTCAAATTTTAAGAAAAAATGGAATTGTAAGATAGAAAGTAATATTTCCTATAATAAAATCTAATATCACATCACTCGTACCAACAAAAGTTATGTTAATCTACTTATATTTTATGATTTAATTTGTGTACTCAAAATTTCATGATTTTGAGTCTTGTCTAAATTAAAATTTTCCTTTGGCTAATTTTGTTTATCCAGGCATAACATAATGAAAAAAACTTCCAATGCTGGAAAAAGAACTTTAAAAGAAAAAAAAAATTATAAAGTATCTGTGTAATCAAGTACTAAGTATACTTAAAAATCAATACATATACACCTCTAACAATATGGCTGATAAATAACCTCATGGCATGGGGCAGCACAGCGTAAAAATCACCCAATAAAAACAAAGAATTAATATACTCAAATAAAATAATTACATAATAATCTACAAAAATAAGAAGCTAAATCCGACGGTCAAGAAAACGCCAAGGCCCCACTGTGAACCCAAGTGGCGGGCTTCACCATCGCTAGTTTCCCTCTCTTGAGTAGGTGAAGTAGTCGTCGAACCATTGTAGTTTGGATTACTACCGTACAATGACTGAATCCCATCAATATCATCATTCGCCAGCTCCACTTTCCTTGTTCTTGAAGAAATCGTTGGGAACATAATCGCATCTTCAACCGACGAATGTCCCAGCCCCAACAAATGCCCGATCTCGTGGACAGCCACGGACTCCAGATCCACCGCCGACGACAGCGAAGACGTCGTGACATCGCCCGACACTACCCAGTTTTCCTCCATGTCCAAATGGAACCTTCCGTTGGTCGGAGAAAACGCGTGAGCCAAAGTTCCTAGAACCCCGTCGAAGGGTTCCCCATCTCCGTGATCTCCGCTGTAAAAAGCAATTTTAATGTCGGCGGAGAAGAATGAATCCGTTTGAGTGAAGGTCAACGGCGTAACGGCCGACCATTTCTCGAAGGAGCGTGTGAACACGGCCTTTACCTCGTCTGATAATTCGTTTGCGGGTAAGAACCCGTATGTCAGGTCCCGCCTATTGGCAGGCCAAAATGGTCTTCCGGGAAGAAAGTATAATGAGCCGTCGTACGGAAGTGTCCAGTGGTGTGAAACGATGACGATTTGCCGGAGTTCATGGAACTCGTCCCGTTGATTATATCGGCGTTACCGCACCTCGGTCGTACGATCTGTTGAAGAGTCTGATCATCCAGTTGACCGGTAACATTAAGGTTGAAATTCTGTTGGTATATTTTCAAGGCTTTTTCCAGCTCGTCATCGAAATCGTCGCTAAAATTTGTCGGAGAGTTGGGGATATAACCGAAGTTGTTAAAGTAATGTTTGAGCTTGGACAAGCCGTCTCTCTTTTCGCCCGACTGGCAACCGGCGAATTTCGTGAAAGCATCCCAAGGGGCGAGTGAGGTGGCGTTAGGAACTAGCCACGGCGGAATAGCTGTTATATTTGGAAAGAATCTAGCTGAAACTGAAGCGAATAATGAGAGCG